GGAAACAAGATGACTACATTGAACAAAGGTCTTCCCACACTCCATGCATCTATATGGCTTCTCCCCTGTGTGGATCATCTTATGGGAAACAAGATGACTACATTGAACAAAGGTCTTCCCACACTCCATGCATCTATATGGCTTCTCCCCTGTGTGGATCATCTTATGGGAAATAAGATGACCTTTTTGAGTAAAGGTTTTCCCACACTCCATGCATTTAAAAGGTTTTTCCCCGGTGTGGATCTTTTGGTGGTTTCTAAGTACATTGCTATGAGTAAAGGTTTTCCCACACTCCATGCATTTAAATGGTTCTTCCTCTGTGTGGATCTTTTTGTGGTTAGTAAGACTACTGTTATAAACAAAGGTCTTTCCACACTCCATGCATTTATATGGTTTCTGCCCTGTGTGGATGGTTTTGTGTTTTCTAAGTCCAGTGCTTTGAGTAAAGGTTTTCCCACACTCCATGCATTTAAATGGTTTTTCCCCTGTGTGGATGTTTTTGTGGTTTCTAAGTTGACCATTACGAGCAAAAGTTTTTCCACACTCCATGCATTTATATGGTTTCTCTCCCGTGTGGATCTTTTTATGGATAGTAAGTTCATTGCTACGAGTAAATGTTTTCCCACACTGCAAGCATTTATATGGTTTCTCTCCCATGTGTCTCCTTTTGTGAATAGTAAGTTCGTAGCTACGAGTAAAGGTTTTCCCGCACTGCATGCACATATATGGTTTCTCGCCTGTGTGTCTTTTTTTGTGGATCTTAAGTTCATAGCTACGAGTAAACGTTTTACCACATTGCATGCATTTGCAGGGCTTCTCCCCTGTGTGGATCATCTTATGGCAAATAAGATTATCTCTTTGAGTAAAGGTCTTTCCACACTCCGTGCATTTAAATGGCTTTTCCCCTGTGTGGATCTTTTTGTGGTTTCTAAGTTGACCGCTACGAGCAAAAGTCTTGCCACAACTCATGCATTTATATGGTTTCTCCCCTGTGTGAATCACTTGATGGGAAATAAGATTACCTCTGTGAGCAAAGGTCTTTCCACACTCTATGCATTTAAATGGCTTCTCCCCTGTGTGGATCATCTTATGGGAAATAAGATGACCACTTTGAGTAAAGGTTTTCCCACACTCCATACATTTAAATTGCTTTTCCCCTGTGTGGATCTTTTTATGCACAGCAAGTCTATTGCTCAGAGCAAAGGTCTTTCCACATTCCATGCATTTATATGGTTTCTCTCCTGTGTGGATTGTTTTGTGGTTTTTAAGGCCATTGTTATGAATAAAGGTTTTCCCACACTCTATGCATTTATAAGGTTTCTCTCCTGCTGCTTGGAGGGACTGGGCTGCATGGGCTACAGCTGCTTCTGAACATTGTTTCTCCCAAGTGTGAATTCTTTCAGGGGAAGTAGGTTGCCTCCTTGTTCTAAAATATTTTCCAGATTCCAAACTTTCATTAGGGTTATTTTTTGTGTGAATCACTTTTTGAGATGTGAAGGACTCATTTCCAAGAGAAAAAATGAATGTTCCATTATAATTTTGTCCGTTGTGTCTTATAGTGTCTTCTCCTTTGTTTTGGGTTAAATAGTGTTCGCTTACATGTAATTTATCATTGATTAGCTTCTCACTTTTCCCAATATATTTGTTTCTTATTTTCTCTTGTTGGGCAAGAAAGTCTTGCATCGGAGCATCAGTGGAAGATGAGCTTTTCTGATTCCAATTATTTGACTGGTTTCTCTCATGGTTTTCGAATTCCATTCGAAATCCAAATTTCTCCATTCCATCTTTAGCATTTATCACTTGAAACAGTTCAGAGGAATCTTGATTCTCCTCCCCATTATTACCTTCAAAGCACAAGAGAAATGAAAATGTTAACAAGGTTAGAGAAAAAGATCAAATTGTAAAAATTCAATTGAATTTATTTCTGAATTTTTCTGAAATTCCATTTGCATGCCTGTAATATGATGGTTTTTATATTTGTGAGTCATGAAAGGTTTGAAAATATCTAGAAAATATCGCTTTCTTTTCAATTATTTATATATATGCTCTCTCCCATATTTGGGCATACCCGGTACTTTGACATAACACTCTGTGTGTGTGTGTTTGTGTGTGTGTGTGTGCGCACGTGTGTGTGTGTGTGTGCCGGTCTTGGCATATTCGTGTCTTTTCCCATGTAAGATTGAGAATATCTTTTGCGACGTTTCAACTAGGTCCCACTCATCATCTTCAGGCTGATGCCTTCGGCTTTGTGATATCCTGAGTCCTGTGCTGCAACCTCCAGAACAACACAGGATGCATCCACCAATCACCCTCACCAGATTCAAACCCAAACCCATCCCATAGACCAAATGCAACCACCATCCAGGAGCCAAACCACGGCGGTATCACCAACTGCTGCACCCCCCTCTGACCTCCACACAAGGCAAACTGGCACACGCCATGAACACATGGCCAGACC